CTCGTCCGCAATTGCTCGGCGCCCTTCCCCAACGGAACGGCGGTGTGTCCCTATGCCGCCGCGCGCCGCTGCGCTCCCGCCACCTTCGTGGGGCTCGTGCTCGTGGGACTCGGTGTGGCCACGGTCAAGGCTAACATCACGCCCTTCGGCGCGGACCAGGTGAGCCGGGCCGTCCCTGTCCTCCCGGTTTAGCGCCACGCCTACCTGAGCCTATACCTGACTTTGCACCAAGTGCCCTACGCTGAGGACACGGGGACCGACCGCCCCGGTACTCTGCGTACCTGCGAGTGCCCCAGTGTTCTCCACCGATGGAAAGAACGAGCCACCCCACGTACCTAAACCTACACCCCCACTTGATTGCGCGACTGATGGGAAAGTAGGGAGCTGTCCACTAAGCGCCCCAAACCCTTCACCCTCACCTCGCATCTAGAGAAAGATAAAGGCTGTGTGGAGGGAAGACTTCTTGGCTTCTCTGCACTTCTCTTGTAGTGCAGAGAAGGTCACCTGCCTTTGATACCTACTTAATGGAGGAAGGAGACTTGTCCTGAAGGGACTTCCTTGCAGAGTGGGGAGGAAATCCATCTGCCCCAGTGGGCAGGGGGAGAGGAGAGCAAGGCTCCTTCTAATCCAGGTGGGGAGGAAACCCATGAATACCCATTCCACACCTCGAAAGAGGCTCTTGACTGGTAAAGAGGGAGCCTGTATCCACATCTGCCCTTGCATTTGGTCAGGGACTGAAGGAGGGGAGGGAACCACACCCATCCTTTGCTCTGGGGGAACTTGGCCTTTAGTGTGGGTGGAAGCCCTTGAGTAGACAGGAGAAAGCTGTAAAAACAGGTGTGATCTGGGTGGTAGGAAGGGCTTCACCTAACGAGGTGATTATGTGTGATGTGATGGCCAGGGCAGTTTTAAAGTGAAGGGACTTTTCAAATGGTGAGGTCATTTGAGTTGAGATCTGAAGGAAAAAAGGTTTAAGTTAGAGATTTGGAGGACAGACACGTACAGAGGGCTGTCACTGTACTAGTTTTCCATTTACAAACTTATGGGCAAGCACTTAGTTTTGGTCTTTATTGTTTTAAATAAGTTTTGGAGTGGCCTGGGTAGGAAAGTTCAATGTCATGCTGCTGCTCTGACCACCAAGACGAAGACAGAGGAGGAGCCAGAGCTTTGGAGAGCAGAAGTGATCTGCTAGCGCCTGACTGCCTCATCTGCTCAGCTTCCCCTTTTAGGGCTCTCACAGGCTAAGAATGGATCTAGTGGTCAAATGCAAATAAAGTATTTTGTAAGCAGTGGAAATTATGTGGGGCTTGAGTGGCAGGCTCTGTGGATAAAGCTTTTTAAGGTCCTGCTCTTTCCTGCTTACTCATCCCCTCTGCTTCTCCTAGACTTGTAGAATTGAGTAGTCACAGAGGCCAGATAGATGTCTCCTAAAACCTAACACACGTTGTTCCTTTGCAGAAAGATTGCAGGTGGCTGCCTTAGAGAGTGGGTTGTGTGGCAGGTGCATGATAGCATAGCTCTGGCTGCAGCTGGTCTAATGAGAGAGGTGTGGTCTAGAGTGGAGACAGTCTCCTAGTAAAGGGATGGACTCAGACATGGGAGGAGGGCGGTAGGGCTAGGTAGGGTAGGGAGTGCCAGATAGAGGGTTGTTTGTGAGCTGCAGGAAAGGTGAGCTCTGGGTGTCAGCACTAAACTGATCCTTCAGGGCCTGAAATTTAAGTCACCAAGGTGAAATCATTTGCTCAGAGAGTAGCACCATGAATATAGAACTGGGCCATGTTCAGAAGTCTTGTTTACATGGTTCTAAGGTTGACCAATTCAGTGAGGACACATCTCACCTATATTAGAAGTAGTAGTAATCTTAGTGCTTAAGATTTTGAGGCAGGAAGGATTGCCACAAGTTTAAAGCTAGCTCAGACAGTATGGTTCTAGGCTATTATGGGCTGCGGAGCACGACTCATAAAAGTAAAATATAAACAAAAGTAGTTGCTACTTTAGAATTATGAAAGGTGCTTCTCACACAGGGGCAGTTTCAAGCCCAGACTCATGGCCTTGGCCTCTGTCCCACTAGTGCACCTTGAAGACACAGGGTCAAAAGCACATTAGCTCTGTCCTTTAAGTCTAGGTGTGGTGAAATGGCCCTCATAAGTCTTATACATTTTGATACTTGGTCATCAGTTGGTGACTGGGGAGGATTTGGTGTGACTCTGCTGGAGGAAGTATGTTACTGGGGTGTGGGTTTTGTTTGAGATTGGAGCTGCTGCTCTAGCCAGCATGTCTGCTGCCATAATGAACTCTTATCTGGAACTTTAAGCCCAAAATAAACCCTTCCTTGTATAAATTGCCTTCAACGTGGTGTTTATCACAGAAACAGGAAAGTAAGCAGCAAACTGGGCCTTACCATGCAGCATACCTCTGACTATGCATCCCTGTGTTGGCGTTGTTTGAGCTTCATGGTATACATGGGGGTTCCTTAGACTTTGCACTTACAGCTCCTTTTCACCTGAGAACTTACATGACTCCGAGAGTCTAAAATAGACTGATATCAACCAAGTCATGAATTTGTTTCAAATCAGTTTTTTGCTGTATGAATAACTTACCATTTATTAAAGATGAAATCCAATTTGCATAGTAATGAGATGGGTGTTTGCACAACATGATACAGTCCAAAGCCATAGCTCCATCCTTGAAAGCTGAGGTGTGATGACTGGTAGGAAAATATTCCAAGTCTTGGCTGTTTGAAATTAAGCCATTGTGCTTCTGTGACAGTAGAAAAATATTCTCTATGCAGTGGTAACAGTGTGCTCATCTTATGGATTAGCCTATACTATACTCCCATAATCTAGCCAAGGAGTGTTAGGCATCGTTTGTTGTAGTCATAAGGTGTGTCAGTGTGTGAAGTGTAAAATGTGGGTGGTACTTGTGCAGAATCAAGACAGAAGGATATCACAGAGCAAAGCACTGCCAGGAACATCTTGGGACCATTGCACATTTGATTCTGAATAAGTTTTGGTCCTTGTGCATTTAGATACCAGTTGCTGTTGCCAGGTCTCTCTCTCTCTCTCTCTCTCTCTCTCTCTCTCTCTCTCTCACACACACACACACACACACACACACACACACACACACACACACACGTACGTTTTGAGAAGCTTTGATTGTAGTATGCTTGGGGTGACTGACTGTCTCTCTGTCTGTCTTTGTCTCTGTCAGGGCCCAGCTGCTCAGAAAGTGCTGAGGGAACAGATTGGATGCAGTGTGTCTTAGAGTCAGTGTTCTCCAGTAGATAGTTGACCATTGATTAGCACCCGCTAACAGAGGGGTCACTGAGTGGGTCCCAGTGTGCATACTTCATTATAGCTAAGAATAGTGCTCTTCCACAGGGTAATTGGAATTGTCTCTAGTATCTACATACTTATCACCATCTGGGGAAGAGACCCTTCTAGATGCCAGAATCCTAGAGAAACTTGACAGCCACTTTGGGTGTGGTCAGTTTGGTTTGGTTTGCTGTTTGGATTTTTGTTTTATTTTGCTATATTTTTGAGACATAGTCTCAGTGTAGCTTAGGCTGGCCTCTAATTCACTAGTAGAAGATAACCTTAAACTCTTGATACTCCTGCCTCTGCCCAAGTCGTGTCCATCCCCCACCATCCTTGGCCATTTTATTTATTCATTTTTTGGCCTGGAGTTTTTCTGTGTAACCCATGCTGCCTTCAAACTCACTAAGTAGCCCAGACAGTCCTTCCGACCTGTGTGTGAACGCTGCTGTGAGGAGTATGTGCCACCACGCTGGGCTTCCACTGATTTGTTTTGGTTTGGTTTTTGAGCTCTGCCCTTGCCCTGCAGCCAGGCAGGCCTCGAATTCTATGTGTAACCCAGGCTGGCATCAAACTCATGATTGATTATCTTCTAGCTTCTGCCCCCTGAGTGCTGGGATTACGGGTGTGTGTACCCCACCCATTTATCCTTTTGTTGTTGTTGTTGTTTTTGTTTTTTTTCGAGACAGGGTTTCTCTGTGTAGCTTTGGAGCTTGTCCTGGCACTTGCTCTGGAGACCAGGCTGGCGTCGAACTCACAGAGATCTGCCTGCCTCTGCCTCCCGAGTGCTGGTGCGACACCAATGCCGGGCTTCCCATTTGTCTTTTTTAAAGCCTTTGTTTTGGGTGCTTAGGATAATTGAACTATGGACTGCACATTAGATGGTGGGGGTGATGTTCTTAGGTGTGGTTGTACCTTTGTTACATAGAAGAACAGTGTTTTTAAGAGATTCAGTCAAAGGTGTGTGGGTGGGGAGATGTGTGTCAACACTCTTGTTCACATGTTTGTTTCTGAGTCTCTCTGTGTATCTCTGGCTGGCCTGGAACTCTGTAGACTAGGTTGGCCTTGAACTTACAGAGATTTACCTGCCTCTGCCTTCTGAGTGTTTTTACTAGTATACGTGTCTGTGTCAGTCTGTGTTTTCATGGCAATGATGTATGTGTTGAGGTCAGAACAGCCTGCAAGAATAAGTTCTCTCCCATTTAGATTCTGGGGATGGAGTTCAGGTTTTCAAACTTGCTGAAAATGCGTTTACCTGCTGAGCCATCTCGTTGCGCTGTCCCAGGATGTTACGCTTTTAACAGAAAAAAATAGAACTAA